TCTATATCTATATCTATATCTATATCTATATCTATATCTATATCTATATCTATATCTATATCTATATCTATATCTATATCTATATCTATATCTATATCTATATCTATATCTATATCTATATCTATATCTATATCTATATCTATATCTATATCTATATCTATATCTATATCTGTATCTATATCTGTATCTGTATCTGTATCTGTATCTGTATCTATATCTGTATCTATATCTGTATCTATATCTGTATCTATATCTGTATCTATAACTGTATCTATATCTGTATCTATATCTGTATCTATATCTGTATCTATATCTGTATCTATATCTGTATCTATATCTGTATCTATATCTGTATCTATATCTGTATCTATATCTGTATCTATATCTGTATCTATTATCTGTATCTATTATCTGTATCTATTATCTGTATCTATTATCTGTATCTATTATCTGTATCTATTATCTGTATCTATTATGTGTATCTATTATCTGTATCTATTATATGTATCTATTATATGTATCTATTATCTGTATCTATATCTGTATCTATATCTGTATCTATATATGTATCTATATCTGTATCTATATCTGTATCTATATCTGTATCTATATCTGTATCTATATATGTATCTATATCTGTATCTATATCTATGGGAGAGATCCCATGCAAACCAAGCTTCCGGTGCTAACCTACAAACCAACAACATCCGCTGGATTAGATCATGCGGACGGCTAGTGATTATTGAAACACGCTGCATGCACTCAGCCGCATGAGAAAAAACGGATAACATCGCTTTATAGCTTTAGGCATTTAAAAGGTCACAAATGTAATTTGTAAAACAAAGATATCCCACTAGCTAATTGATTCGAAAGGTGCTATACTTCCCACCAAACAATTAACAATGCAAATATATGGAAATTATATAAGGTAAGTGCCAGACAAGGTAACCCATGATACGATTGAAGTTAATCACAAATTGAAAAGTAATTTACCTTTTTGTAATTAATAATTTCTATGAACCAATCGGTTCTTAATAAACCTTTATTTTCGAAACTTAGCTCCTATTATCGAATGAAAAAGTTAATATTTCAACACAAATAGAAGTTTAATATATGTGAGCAGTGCATATTAAGATTAGAGAATATGCATTATATAACATTTTATATCAAGATTACGAGATGTACATCATATATTCAAAATGTGTGCATAAATTATTTTAGAAACTCATATTGATAAAATATGTCAATGTTGTGTTTTATAAGTTCATCATTGCATTTTAGTAAGATAACTAGTGCATATGAGAAGTAAACATACATGCGAACTGCATATTAAGGTTGTGAGATGTGCATTGTATAAGTATAACGTGTGCATATGCATAATAAGGTTATGTGATATGCATATTAAGGATGGAGAGCTATTGATTGCATCTTATCGTTATGATATTTGCATTTTATTATTATGACATTATGACATGTGCATTTTGGAAGTTCGGGATGAAGTTGGACTGTATCGTACCGAGCACAGACAGAGCATTGAGAGGATGGAGGAGCAACGGCGAGCAGACTGGCATAGGTATGAGGAGGACAAGCGGAGATATGAGGAGGATCAGCGTAGGACCTATGGTGCTTTATACTCCTATGTGGCACACCAGAGTGGATTTGCATCTATGGCAAATCCCCCTCCCGCACCCTCTTGGTACGATCAGACTACATGGGGTTATTTTGGAGTCTCGAGTTCCGGTGGTGGAGGCGATGATGGTGGTTATGACGGGGATCACATGGATGAGGACAGACACCATGGTGGAGGTATGGGCGGGCACTAGGGACTGCAATGAACTAGCTGGGGGGGAGACTGTTCTGGTAAGCTTACATTCACACTCTTTACTTTCTCTAAATAAATAAATAAATAGCTTGTTAAGTTGAAAACCCACAAAGGGCAACTTAAGCAAAAATAAAACAAAAATAAGAGTGAGTTTGTGAGGATTAAAATAGAAAAATGTGGGAAGCTGGGATGAAAACCCGAAAGGGCACCTAGGCAAAAATGAGATAATGAGAGAAACTATTTCTTTTGACTTTGCAGGATCCTAAGGGTGATGATGAAAGGGAGTTCATGGTTGTTTTGATACTTTTGTTTTGAAGACTTCCTGGACATGATTTGTTTTACTCGAGACGAGTAAGAGTTCAAGTGTGGGGGTATTTGATATGCACTAGTTAGTAGTGCATAAATGTGTGTTTTTATATTTTGTTTTGTGAGGATTGTTTACCATTTGTGTGTAGTTGTAAACATTTGTTTACTTTTATTTGTAAGTGTTTTTAGCTTTTATTTGTGAGTTAGGAAGTTTTGATAGAATTGTTGGCAAGGAAAAGGAAGAAAAACAAGGAGAATGCTGCCCAGGAGTTAAACCCGGTCGGGTAGAAACCTTCACCCGGTCGGGTTTGAATTAACATTTGCAATCTCCGGGAAATTGCTTGGCCCAGTCGGGCCCTATACCTCACCCGGTCGGGTGAGACTTGACCGAGGACAACCCGACGTGCTGAAAAATACTAGAACGTGGAAGATATTTGATTCGGACCGGTACCCAGTCAGATAGATACTCTACCCGGTCGGGTACCCGGCCAAAGGTGTTGAAAAACACCTATAAATAGCACACTTTTCCTTCACTAAAAATAATCCTTTCTTCCATACTCTTAAGCTCAGTTTAGAATAATATTTCTTTATATTTTTATAGCATGTTTAGTCTCCAAATGAGGAGCTAAACTTCCATATCTTGGTTTTGCTAGTTTGAAGCTTAATGAATTTGTAAGTTGTGAGTTATTCTCTTTAATCTTCTTCCTTGAATATTAATTCTTCCTTTAAATACTATTTCTATATTAATGTTGGGGAGTGTTACTAAGATGACAATTAGTTAACATCTTGACATTAGTTATAGCAATAGCTATTCCTTCCTCTATGTTAATATTGGGGAGTGTTACTAAGATGACAATTAGTCAACATCTTGATATTAACTATAGTAGGGTTCATCTTCTTTAATATTCTTCCTTGAGTATTAATTAATTCCTATTAATATTCCATATTAATATTTTGAGCATTACTTAAAGGATCAACTAGTTTTGTTTCATATATTAATTATTACTAGAATCAATCGGTTAATACGCTTGTTATTAATTCGGTTCTTTCAATGGTAGTAAACTTGGATTGTTAATGCATGCTTCTCACGGTTAATAATCCAAGAGGAATTAATTATATTGATTAAACCAAATAAACCGCTTGTGTTGAGGTTATCAATCTCAATCTTTTTCATCTTAAGTTTATTGCTACTATCAAGTTAATATACGGCGCTTGTTCTATATTGACTCGATAGTAAGTTTTATTAATGAACGCATCTCGTTATTAATAACTACCCTCGATGAACTGGATATACTCCTCGATTGAGCATTCGAGAGGAAGATAGTTAAAGATATAACCGGGATCGACGAACATTTCATTAAGTGGATAAAAGCAAAACCAAGCCTCCATCTCTATTAAAGTAAACCACATAAGTCATTCAACTTAGTGTTTAAATACACTTTAAGTTCAATCATTAAATAAAAAACCCCCTTTGTTACTGTTTATATAAAAGATAAATATTCCTTTCCCTGTGGATACGAACCTTACTTCACTATACTACGTATTAGTGTTGTATTGTATTTATTTTGAGTGCACCTCACGACAAGTGCACGTCATGAACACATGTAAATTGTTTGCATATTAAAGTTACAGAACGTGCATAGTAAGATTAATGGATGTGCATATTATGGTTACGAGATATGCATTATATATTTATCATATCTTCAAAACTTATATTAGAACTATGTAGTCATAAACATGTCAACGCTGCATTATAGTAGTCCATATCTTGCATTTTATCATTATAACATGTGCATTTTAGAAGTTTGTGCACTTTAAAAGTTCACATCTATTATAGAAAGTTATGTGCGCTTTAAAAGTTCATACTGCATCTTAACGCTATGACATTTGCATTATTTTAGGAGCTCATATGTTGCAATTTAATATCATTATGACTTATGTATTTTAGAAGTCGTATATTGAATTCAGTCGTTTAGTTTATATCAAAATAATTGTAATTGTACGCTATAAAAAAAATGTTGGTTCGAGAACCTGTTTGGTAGTACAAAAATCGGCTATTTTGGCTGATTCTGTTGAAATTTATGATGTTCTGGCTGAAGTGGCTGCATTGGTTGATTCTACTGATATAAGAAAAATTTATTTTTAAAATATATTTTAGGAAAAACGGTCAATTTGGTCCTCGTATTTTTATGAAAAAAGCAATTAGATCCTCGTACTTTCAAAAAAATCAATCAAATCCCCGAACTTTGTGAAGACGCTCAATTGAGTCCATTTGCAGATTAATTGTCATGTCAGCATGTCACCCGCTGACGTGGCACACACATGGAGGGTCCACGTGTGCGCTACGTCATTAGCAAATGGCCGACTGGACTTCCACATGTGTGCCACGTCAGCAAAATTATTGCTGATTGGGGTGCCACATGTGCACCCCATCAGCCGGTGATCTAGTGACCCGGCAAGTAACGTGCAAATGGACTCGATTGAACGTTTACAAAGTTTGGGGACTATTGATTTTTTTTTAAAAAGTACGATGACCTAATTGACTTTTCCATGAAGTACGAGGACCAAATTGACAATTTTCCCTATATTTTATTAGTAAAATAAAGAAAAAATTATATGTAAAATAGCTAAAATGGTCATCTATAGTAACTTCAGCCAATATAATCAGAAAAGTAACACCAAACTTACGAATTGGTTTTGGCAGGTCTCTTTGTGATTGAAGATAAAAGTTCTGGAATGCTGAAAATAAAATATTGGAACCATTTCTTACGAATGGGGTTTGGCAGGTCTCTTTAAAAGGGTCAAGTGTATGAATTTCACAGGTATGGCCGTATGGGGGTTGAGGACCCTCAGATGAGTCATCCTATCACAATTGATTTAGTAATTGATCTGCAGACTAAATTTATTTTGTTTAGCATCTTCAGTTGCATAATAAGTATACTAAAAATCTAAAATAAGTAATCACCAAATTCACAAGAATAGCCTGTCTATGGTAGTTTTCACCAGATCAACTAATTCCTAACTAAATGCTGGAGTATTCAAAGTTGTATCCCATTTATGATCATCATGCCATTAAAAATGTTCAGACCTGAAAGCTATAATTAGAAGCAAAGGGTACAATTTATGAGCTCCACTTGCTTGCTTCACCCTCCTACCTAGAGCTTCATCTCCTTGTGTACTCAGAAACAAGTTTCGCAAATAAAGATGACTTTTCTTGTAACAATCTTTTCGGAGAATCGTATTCCAATACGAGACCTGTATTTAAGAAAAAAAATCATATTTATAATTAAGAGTAGTGTTCTTAAAAAACTTATATACAAGTATATAATGTAAGAAAACTTATATCATATTATGATGAAACTTTCTAGTGAAAAAATGTATACACAGATAATAAAGTACTCATATACCATGATCTAGCAGGAGAACCATATCGCTCTGTACAACAGATGTTATCCTGTGTGCGATTGTGATCACCGTAGAGCCTGAGAAATGTTGTTGTATAGTTTGTTGAATCAAATTATCGCTGATCGTATCGACTGAAGCTGTAGCCTCATCAAGCACTAGAACTTTCCTTTTGTTCAGAAGCACACGCCCCAGACACATTAGCTGTCTTTGACCCACACTCCAATTCTCTCCATTTTCAACAACTACATTTATAATAGTTGTACATTAGAAACAATACAAGAATTGATTGCATATGCCATATTAACACTTAATGTTTCATTGATGAGTAACAATAAACCACATATGTTAATGTTTATTAGATATGATCATGTGAGATCATCCATTTATAGGTAGTTAGCTACTCTCTTATAATGCAGTCCAAATAATAGTGCATAAACCACAAACCTGCAGAGTCTAGTTTGCATTCTCTCTTTCTAACTTCATCACCTAGATGACACTTGTCAATAGCCTTGACCAAAGGAAAAAGAATCACACATTTAGTTACATACACTCACATGCAGTGATGATATAAGATATGAAAGCTAACCAACAGTTTAATTTTTTTGTTTAACCAGATTAATTTTTTAGATTAAGTTAATAAAATACTGAGATCGAATCTAACCTCCCAAATTTGTTCATCAGTATACTCTCCAAGCGGATCCAAATTACCCCGTACTGTACCCATGAACATAGTTGGATCCTGTGGGATTATGCTTAGTTTCGATCGCAAATCATGCAGTCCAATTGAACATATATCGACCCCGTCTATAAATATTTGACCAGTAGTCGGCTCGATAATGCGAAAGAGAGTTTGTATAAGTGTAGACTTTCCACTGCCTGTCCTCCCAACTATTCCTGTTTTCTTTCCTCCAAACATAGTGCAGGTGACACCTCGTAATACAAAGGGCATGTGTGGAGCATATCGAACCTAAAAATATAAACATCACGTAATATGAAATAAATAAATTAGTGCAAAGTACAGTGACAAAGTTAGCTTTACAATGAAGAATGGTAATGACACAAAACTATAGAACCATCACCAGTCAAACAAGAATTACCTGGAGGTTGCAAATATTGATCTCTCCTTGTGTTGGCCAGTGAGGGTCAGGCCTGTTAGATTCTATGAGTTGAGGGGGCTCACTTGGAATACAAGTATATTGAAGCATTCTTTCAACTGAGATCATTTTGTTCTCCATCTGGCAAGCATACCATACTAGCAAACTTTGTAGCATGCTTAGATTAAGTCCATATGTCACCGCTAAACCCGCAATACCTTATATATTCATAATTATTGTAAAACTTGAAAAAAATGAGATTATTGGATGACAAACACTTCTTTGTCTAGGAACAAAGACAAAGCTAATCAGAAGAGCAGTAAAGTAAGAAGTTACATACTTACTTGGGTCAATTGTGCCCTCAGGAATACAAATCAAGAAAACCAATAAAGAAGTGAACAAAACAAGGGAGAGTGCATCCAAGCGAACGTCTAACCACCCTGAAGCAGCTTTGTAGTAGAACAACGGTCTAGAGTAAGAATCAATTAGATCCATACTCGTGTCCATGAATCTTGCCTCCTGACCAAAACTTCTAATCGTTGTTGCCCCCGAAATTGTCTCAGCAAAGTGTTGTACCAAAGGAGCTTTTCGAACACTAGATAATCGGGATAACTCTCTTGCAGAACCTATATAACATCTCTGAAAAACGCAAGCAATACATATTAGTTGAAAAAGTATATCCCACACCGGCTAACCATCTGAAAAATAAAATCACATGCTACTCCCATCACAAAGTTTTAGGATGAAACATAATTTTATACATTATTGAAGTCTAGTTTCGATTATGATTTCTTGGTTCATTTTCCACCAATAGTTTGGGTAGCCCATTTAAAGGCATTGTGGTCCATTTGTATACGCCTTAGATTGTTGAGTATGTTCGGGCTGGATGTGTTGAAGTGTTTGCCCCAAGTAGACTAAGATAAAGAGCTACAAGCCTACAATTTATATTATGTGTGTTAATGACTAACTAGAAAGTACCTGCAACCAGATGTCACTTAAGAGTATGGCTATAAAAAAAATAAGGACTCGCCAGGAAACTTGTGACATCACTGCGACAACTCCCAAAATTTGTACAACTGAGAATGCAACTGCCCCAACATCAGATGCAAGGCTCCAGTCCACTATGCTTTGATCTGTAGAGGCCTGCAGAGAAGTCAACATTTTATGTAAACTAAAAAGCTTAAAAGTACATACCAAAACTGTTTAAATAATAGCAGCAGTAACAAAGCATAACTTAAAATAGACATATAAAATAATACTCCGTATAAGTCTGGAAGCTTTACTCGATTGAGAATCCGGCCGCTAGGAGTGGAATCAAAAAATGACATGGGAGCACAAAAAATGGCAGAATGCATCTTATAGAAAAGTATTTGTGCTGTTTTGTATGCAGCAGTGACATGAAGTAAGGCCCGAGCAAGATTCCAGGAAGAACTCCCAACAGCCAATGCGACATATACGGAGATGAGAACGGAGCGCTTAACAGGAGGTGTCACGTCATCAGACACGGCTGTAGCCCATGTCATCCAGTAGTTGCTCCCAATTTGCAACAGCTGGAATAGAATCTCTGCCAATAATATCAAAGGAACTAGCCATCCTCTATATGCCAATGTTAAGTACTTCCAGTAAACCGGGAAACCAACTCTGCCTTTCTCCCTCTCTTCTTCTTGAACAAGCTGCCCTTCCTGCCCAGATATTTTGTTTTCATCCTCTCTGGTGCTTTCGATTTTGTTCACATCTTTCTCCACATTCCGTCTTAAGTCATTGCAATCCTCAATTATGCCTTCAAATTTTGATAATGCAGTTCTGTGTGCACCCACAAGATTCATAAAATCGCTACCTGATTTTGCAATCTCATTGTACTTGCCTACTTGTGTGATCTTTCCTCCCTTCATTACCTGGTAAAGCAAATACGTTATCATATCACTACTGAATTTAAAGATGAAATAGTTTAAATTGGACTGTACTGCTAGTGTGACTCAAAATAAGATTTTAATACTGCAAAAGGTAAAAGAAAATTAAGAAATGACAATCGTAAATTGTTATACTGATAGAAGATTAACTAGTTGTAAATTCAATTATATGTAGATTCTAATACTAAAAAATGCAATTTAGATTACACGTCCAAACCAATTCATAACCAAATTGGAAGTTGAGAGCCTCTCTCACTGAAGTTCGTAAATCACAGTTCATGGCAGTTTTACGACTCCAGTTTCTCGGCCATGGTTTGAACTGTTCTTCGATTTTTTGACTTGTTTTTGGTCGACCAAAGGTAGGAATCACTCCTAAATGCTTAGTCGTGCTTGGATCTGTTTTTATTTTGGGATTTGAAGACCAATTTTAGCAAGAAACGAGCTGAATTTCCGACAGAACGCTGTTCATTTGCAGAACTGTTTTGACTCATTGCAAAAAATCTGACGATTGTTTTTGGATTTGGGACATGGTATGAGGTTCGCCATCACCAGAAGAAGCTATTCGTATAGATTTGAACTGTTGTAGTGCGGATTTCATAGTTCGAAGTACTGTTCATAGTTCGAAAGTCAACGTTTTGCAGGGAGGTTTTCAGGCTGCTCCGGCAACGGGAGTTCAAAAATAATTACAGTTTGGGGGTCGCCTCAGCCAGGCGCACCGCCAGCTATTTTTATTTTAATTTTCTGGTCACTTTGATTTTCCATGGCTGTGAGTTTGCTTCCCAAGCTCAACTAGGATGTTGAATCAGAGTATGATGATAGTCTTTCCAATGATTCCAGCTCTCTGAAACGAGAGGGACAAATGATACACCCAGAACTTCCATGACAAGTATGCCAAAGAAGAAACAATGGAGTGCACTGTTTAAAGACAATTGAGGTATATTCCACAAACTGAGCGTTTTCACGGGAAGGTTTCCTGGTTTAAAGGCAATCTATGGCCTTACAGAAAAATGGGGACTACACTGTGAGGTCAAACCACATGACAAGGGCTGGGTTGTTTTTAAATTCAAGTGCGAAGCTGATAGGACTAAGGTTATGCTTGATGGGCCGTATATCCTTTTTTGGGAAGCTACTGGTTTTGAAGGTTCTGTCAGACGATTTTTCCTTTGAAGATGATGAGTTTTTGAAGGTGCCGATTTGGATAAAATTTCCTAAGCTCCATGTGTGGTTGTGGAATGAGGATACTATTAGCGAAGTTGCTTCTAAGGTTGGAGTTCCACTCACCACGGATAGGATAACCATTGAAAAGGCAAACCACAACTTCGCTAGAGTATTAATTGAAGTGGACGTGACAAAGCAACCTCCTCTCTCATTTCCAATCAAGATGGATTCAGGGAAGATCATTGAGCAGCGGGTTTTCTGTGAAACGTTTCCGAACGACTGCTTCCATTGCAAACAATATGGACACCATCCATTCATTTGCAAGGAACTAGCAGCAAAAGAAAAGGCTGAAACTGGCGAACCAACAAAAGTTGAGGCATTCATAATAGCTAAGGAATCCACAACGAAGGCTGATGTTGTACCGCATAAATTACAGGTTGCCAAAGCTACTGAGGACACTACGAAGGCCATTGTTGTGCAGGAGACTATGGACCCGGAAGGGGAATTTGTGGAAGTACGTAGGAAGAAGGGAAAGAAGAATGCAAAGCCGGTGATACCTTCTGAAACCAATACCATGCCTATTACGTATAAAAGGAAGGCTATTGCTAGCCAAGCTAATTAAAATAAGCCTATTTTGGGTGGCAGCAAACTGGTTGGTGTGGAGATTAATCACAAAGGAGCAAATGAGACTTTTAAAGATAAAGAAGAGGAACATAACGGAAAAGAGGTGGTTCCTTTTCAAATTGACGCAAGTATGCTTCAAGAAATTTGAAAGAAGAAAGGAAAGCAAGACAGAAGATAGCAAGGATTACTATCTTTTAGGTTGCTTTGTTTTTTTTAATGTTGTTGCTTGCTGGACTGTTTTGAACTTAGCTGGGTTCTGTCCCGTGCAAGGACTTGTTTTGTGTTTTCATTTATTTAGGTTAGTCTTGACTAGCTTAGATAGAGTCCAATGGATTTGTTTTTTCGACACATTGCATTAGGTTATTTTTTCTTGGGTGCTAATAAAATTTACATTTCATCTAAAAAAAACCAAATTGGACTGGCATGAACATATATGTCTAGTAAGGCCAGGACTGGTTCGTTATAGTATCGATCTTCCGTTCTTAAAATACTATGATCTTCAATTCATGTTTACACTGGTTCAGGTCTAGTCTGGACTGGGGCACACCACTAAGTCACTAACCATGCAAACTAACCACACACTTTAATACTATGCTTGGACATGACTCACCAGATAAAAGATCTAATACTCTTTCTACGTGTGAAGTTAATAATATAATGGACTTAAACTTGGACAGCATATTATTTGTAATGTGGATACTCTAAAAAGGAAACAAACAAATCCTTTCATGAAAAATAATGATAACAATAATAACAATAGTAATACTATTAACAACAACAACAACAACAACAATAATAATAATAATACTTCGTAAATGGTAACAGCTTACCAAAATGAGATCCGCATCAGGTAAAAACTCTACTTGGTGAGTTACATAAATAACGGTTTTTGATTGCAGAAAGCGCAGTAAACATTCCTGTCATTCATATATAAAAAACAAATAAAGATTAGGGAGCCAGGTATAATAACTATTGTTATTATATTTTTTTAAATGAAAGAAAAGAAAGGGGTGAATAATGAATATTATTAATTACTTTGAAAAGATGACTTCCGGTATGAGCATCCACAGCACTGAACGGGTCATCAAGCAGATAAATATCGGCATCCTGGTACAAAGCACGGGCAATCTGTATCCGTTGTTTCTGCCCGCCACTCAAATTGATTCCCCTCTCACCAATGACTGTTTGATCACCATAAGAGAGGATCTCAAGGTCCTTGTTCAAAGCACATCCTTCCAGAACACGGCCATACATCTCTCTGTCCATCTCCTTACCGAACAATATATTCTCTTCAATCGTTCCACTCTGTATCCATGGAGACTGCGGAACATATGCCATTGTACCACACACTTTGACCGTCCCAGACACTTTGACCATTTCTCCCAAAATGCATGAAAGCAAACTAGACTTACCTGAACCCACACTGCCACAAACTGCAACCCTCATGCCATGAGAAGCTGCAACGTTTATTTCTCTAAGAAATGGAGACTCCACATTATTATCCCACGTGAAGGTCCCATCAATAATCTCAACTGATGTGTTCCCGGAGCTCCCTCTAGGGAGTCTCTCAACGGCGTCACGCGCCATGTCATCGAGTGACAGAAACGCAGCGATCCGGTCGAGGGACACACGAATCTGAACCAGCATGGAAATGGTGTATGGGAGCTCATTGATAGGCTCTTGAAGTATCCGGAACACTGCAAGTGCTGACAATATCTTGGCCGAGTCCAGTGGGGTGCGCATTAGCATGCATGCAAAGAAAGTGGTGACAGACACTAATGTGGGTCCATTCCAGGATATGAATTCGCTAAGGGAAGAATAGTACATATATTTCTTCAGCCAACCAGCCTCCTTCTTCCTGAGCTCCATGATTCTGGACAGAAACTTAGCTTCCCAAGACTGCAACTTGAATAGCCTCATGTTCCTGAGAGCTTCAGATGTTACATTCATCCTCTCGTCTTTTGAACCCATTGCCTGTTAGAAAAATGACCTTAAAATGGTGAGTTTGGTGAGATGAAAATTGGGAATCAGAAAGAGATGCAAACCATTTATACATTATACATCATGTGTGGAGTAATTTCTTAAGGTTGCAACCTGCACTACTTCTAATAGACCAAATAGACTAAGAAATCTTAAATTTTAAATACATGAGTCTAACCTTTCAATCAAACCAAAGAGAATTAGTCCAATACTACCAATGGATTTCTCAAGTAGAACAAAACAATCAAAGAACAAAAAAATTAACACTTATACGTGAGTGTTCAATTGTTCATATCTTGGACTTTTAACTAGTACATGTTGTCCCAGATTCAAAGTATTAAGATATACTATCTATATTGCTCATTTATCTATTAACTTTGTCTAATATTTTTTCCCACTTTGAATTGTATTGACTCACTAGCTTATTAATAAAGTGAAAATATATAATTATGATTGCGATAGAAAAATGAGATATGAATGTTAGTCATACAAATCATTCCTTAAGTAAATTTTGGAACATCTAAATTACGGGACAGAGGAAAATGTTTGAGGTTAAAACTCATGGAATCTAATATACATAGTATATTCCAATGAACTCTGAACACATGCTCTACTTCTAGTGCCTCAACACCAGCCTTGCGAACCGCTAAACTCCTCCTAACAATATTTTCCTATCATATTTACAAAAATATTACTTAAATAAAATTAATTTAAAAATGCGATTAAAATTACTTTAGAGATAAAATCATGATCACTAATATGTAAACTACAACCTAGTCATTAAATGTTACTGTTATAGTCAAAATGTATAAAAAGTTCCAAAAAGCATTACCTTTTCTTCAAACTTCAGTTGCAATCTCCCAATGGGAATGTTAACTAACACCACCCCAACCGTTGCTATAAATGTAGCAATGCAAGCAAGTCCGAGATTCTTATACAGGATTGCCATTGCCAGTCCAACCTGTACAAAAATCAGCCAGCAGTCATGCACAAAATACCACAAGTCTCCGATTCTATTAGCATCGACAGCCATGAAGTTGATGATCTCCCCACTGGTACGCCCCTTCTTAGATTGAGAAGAAAGTGTCAAGCCCTTCCTGTACACTTTGGCGACTAAAGCTGCTCTCGCTCTATACCCAGCCTGTGGAACCTTGTAATACCAGTGACTTCTGGATAAACACCCCACAAACTTGGCAGAAAAGAAAGCCAACACCAAGAAATATCCTTTTTTACTATCAAAGTCTTGCCTCCGGCTGAGGAATTGAACCAATGTACCAAGAAGGTAAGGGCCAACATAGTTCGCCAATGTGTATAGAAGGGCAAAAAGAGCTGACAGAAGTACTTCTTTCCATGCTGTGGCAAATATGGCCTTCACCAGCATAAATGTTGTGATCTTAAATTTGTCATCATTATCATGAGAAGAAGAAGAATTTTCTTTGGTTAGTTTGTCCCTCAAGATAGGAAAGGCTCCTCTAACACTATCAAGACCGGCGAGTTGAGGGACATCATCAATGTCCAGAATTTTCTTTTTCCCAAGAGATATTAATGGTCCTATCCATGAGAAACAAAGACGACTAAAGAAACCAGCTTTGGCATATGGAGCCTGCATATCATCCTTCCCTTTTGAATGTCTAGGCTTGCTGCTGATGTTGGCAGCATGCAAAAGAGGTTCTTTAATGCCATCTTTCTCTTCTCCCTCTATAAATATAGCACAAAAAGTCACTTGAAAGAAATAAGATAAATGGATAAAATAGAGTATTAAGAGAAAGATGAACTGAAAACATACCCATATGTACAATGAGAATTCCCCACAGCAATATTAAATATTGAATAGAGCTCTCCCAAATCCTCGTGAAAATATATTCTTTACCTTGTACCAAATTAGAAAATGACATTAGTGAATTATTCTTTTCCACCAAATTAGAATATTTTTATTTGAATTGATTTGTTTTGAGATTACACCAGACTAACTGAGTAACTAACACTTAAGAGGCGTTTACTTCGCTGCTAAAGTTACAGTTAGGTTAATAAGACAGATGAAGTAAACACGCGCTGCTTAAAAAACCGCTTACTAACCGAAATATATGCTTAAAGTGCCGCTTACTAAGCCTCGCATATTTCCCAGGCCATTGCGTAATATTGCATGGCAGATTGCGATCAAGACTAAAGCGTACGCTATTTGTGTTAAGGCGTACGCAATACAATGTACGCAATGAGGCGTCTATGTTGCGTACGTTAAACTGAGTGTGATTTTTAGGTATTTTTGGGCCCACTGGGCCCACTTTTAGCAAAACACATAACCGGCCAACCCTCCAGGGTATAATTAATAGCATGTCGATATTTGTTTTGAATGAAAACTTTCCATTATCTACACTATTCTCTATCTACACACTTTTTCGCTGCGCCTTCTTCATATGTCAACTACAGGCCTCCTCTTCTACACCGTTGTATCATCTACCTTTATCTTCTCATGCGTTTAAGTTTCAGCATATCAGTATGTTCTTTCAGTTTTTATATTTAATGATAACTTCAACTTTAATATTATTTCGTGTCCTGTTTAAATTCAGGCTAAATATTAATGTACTACCTCCGTCCCTTTTATATTGGGACAAAAGAGGGTGGCACGATTTTTAAAGAAAGTGAGTTTGTGTGATTGATATTAATTGATAAAGTAAGAATAAAGTAAGAATGATTTTGAGCCACACAAACTTTGCCAAATATGGTATGGGACAATTTTAGTGGGACTTCCCGAAAAGGTAAAACGGGACAATATAAGAGGGACGGAGGGAGTATATTTTATGAGTACCTCAACTTTTAATATTTTATTAAAAGTTTCTGTATATTAGTATTAAGTGTACAACGGTTAAATTTCTGTATACTTCAGCTTTCATACATATTAATATTTTATTAATTAGCCGTGATTAAGTTTCTATGTACTTCAGCTTTCATACATATTAATATTCATTATTTAGCAGCGGTTAATGTGTTTTATTTTTTATTATTTACACACATATGTGTGTGTACGCCTCAACTATACGCTTTATTGCGCAATGAGGCTTATGCAATATGCAATACTCAAAATTCGCCACGGCTACGCAATACGCAATTTCGAACCTTGCTAAGCATACCACCCCCATGTATTAATTAAGCGACACTTTCAGCTTTTTCATTTTCCGAATTTACCCCTTGCCCTAACCCTTATTGTTACCCCTACCCGCCCTACCCTACTAACCCGACCCCACCCTAGCCACTACCTCCATCCATCCTCGTACCTTACCCCTACTCAACTATTATCCCACCCCCACCCCACGTACCCCTTTTCCCTACAACGACCCTACCCCACCCCCACCCCCACCTCGGCCCCGCCTTGATCCATACCCTACCCCCTACCCCCGGCCCCACCTGATCCCGACCCCAACCCCACCCCAACCTAGGCCCTTACC